AGCTGAAGTGGAGACGTCATGCACTCTCACAGGAAGATCTTGAAGGGAAGAAGATAAGATGGTTCTTGGTAAAGATACTTTCTCGCTCTTCTCCATATTCGTTCTTTCTCTTTGTCCTACTTCCTGTACTCTCCCTCTCTCTCTCTCTCTCTCTCTCTCTCTCTCTCTCTCTCTTCCTCTCTCTCTCTCTCTTCCTCTCCTTCCGCCCCTTTCTTCCCTCCCACCCCCCCTTTCTCTCCCCCCCTCTCTCTCTCTCTCTCTCTCCCTCTCTCTCTCTCTTCCTCTCCTTACCCCCTCTCTTCCCCTCCCCCCCCCTCTCTCTCTCTCTCTCTCTCTCTCTCTCTCTCTCTCTCTCTCTCTCTCTCTCTCCTCCCCTCCCTCCCCCCCACCTCTCACCACCCCCTCCTCCCCTCCCCTACGTTATCCTCTCTCTCTTTCTCTCTCCCTCTGTCTCTCTCTGTCTCTCTCTCTCTCTCTCTCTCTCTCTCCCTCTGTCTCTCTCTGTCTCTCTCTCTCTCTCTCTCTCTCTCTCTCCCCACTCTCTCTCTCTCTCCCCCCCCTCTCTCGCTCTCTCTTTCTCCCTCTCTCTCTCTCTCTCTCTCTCTCATCTCTCTTCTCTCTCTCTCTCTCTTCCTCTCTCTCTCTCTCTCTCTCTCTCTCTCTCTCCCTCCCACTCTCTCTCTCTCCCCCCCCCCCCTCTCTCTCTCTCTGTGCTTGCGTCGTGCGTGCGTTGGAGGAGGTTGAACGTGCGTCGTAGATATGGCGAAAAAAGTTTACCCGAAAAGCTTTTATCGTTTAGTCCTGTCTCGTGTTTCTAAATGGTCGTGAGTGAGGGAGTTGTGTGGACCGCTCGCTTCTTGAGGCTTTGAACCGGATTTTCTTTCGTTTTTTTTTTTGTTCTTGTATTTGTTCTTGTATTTGTTCTTGTATTTGTTCTTGTATTTGTTCTTGTATTTGTTCTTGTATTTGTTCTTGTATTTGTTCTTGTATTTGTTCTTGTATTTGTTCTTGTATTTGTTCTTGTATTTGTTCTTGTATTTGTTCTTGTATTTGTTCTTGTATTTTCTTTCTTTGTTCTAGTTCTTGTATTTGTTCTTCGTCTTGTTCCGGATTTTCTTTCGTTTTTGTCTTGTTCTTCTATTTGTTCTTCGTTTTGATCTTGCTCTTGTATTTGTTCTTCGTCTTGTTTCTTGTTCTTCGTCTTGTTTTTGTTCTTGTTCTTTATTCGTCATCATCATTTTCTTCTTCTTCTTCTTGTTCTTCGTCTTCTTGTTCTTCGGTTTCATCTTCTTCTTTTGCTTCTTCTTCTTCCTTCATCCCTTTATCCTCTTTTCCTCGTTTTCTTCTCTTCCTCTCACCCTTTCCATCCTCTTTTCCTCCCATTTCCTCTCTTTTCTTCTCCTTCCTCTCTGTTTGTCCGTTTCTTCCTTTTCTTTCCTTTCCTCCCTTTCATTGCTCTTCTTCCTCTCATCCGCTATTCATCTCCTTCCTCTCTTCCTGTCTTCCTCCCTCCCTCTCCTTCCTCTCTTCCTGTCTTCCTCTCTTCCTCTCTTCCTCTCTTCCTCTCTTCCTCTCCCCCATCCTCCGATCTGTTTATCCACGGCCTTATCGGCTGGGATATCAAACCCTATTTTTATTGAGATAGGAGAGGTCAAGAGGTCAGACGCACACACAGGTCTCAAACGCAATTAACATCCAAGGTCACACGACGCCGCCCCCCCCTCCTCCTCCTCCTCCTCTTCCCCTCCCCATCATGGATACTCCATCCCCCCCCCCCTTCTTCCTAATAAATCCTTCCCTCCCTCCCTCACTCCCTCCTCCCTCCCTTCCTCCCCTCCCTCCCTCCCTCCCTCCCTCCCTCCCTTCCTACCTCCCTCCTTCCTCCCTCCCTCCCTCTCTCTCTCTCTCTCTCTCTCCTCCCCTCCCTCCCCCCCACCTCTCACCACCCCCCTCCTCCCCTCCCCTACGTTATCCTCTCTCTCTTTCTCTCTCCCTCTGTCTCTCTCTGTCTCTCTCTCTCTCTCTCTCTCTCTCTCTCTCCCTCTGTCTCTCTCTGTCTCTCTGTCTCTCTCTCTCTCTCTCTCTCTCCCCACTCTCTCTCTCTCTCCCCCCCCTCTCTCGCTCTCTCTTTCTCCCTCTCTCTCTCTCTCTCTCTCTCTCTCTCTCTCTCTCTCTCTCTCTCTCTCTCTCTCTCTCTCTCTCTCTCTCTCTCTCTCTCTCTCTCGCTCTCTCTCTCTCTGTCTCTCTCCCCTCCCCTCTCTCTCTGTGCTTGCGTCGTGCGTGCGTTGGAGGAGGTTGAACGTGCGTCGTAGATATGGCGAAAAAAGTTTACCCGAAAAGCTTTTATCGTTTAGTCCTGTCTCGTGTTTCAAAATGGGTCGTGAGTGAGGGAGTTGTGTGGACCGCTCGCTTCTTGAGGCTTTGAACCGGATTTTCTTTCGTTTTTTTTTGTGTGCTTGTATTTGTTCTTGTATTTGTTCTTGTATTTGTTCTTGTATTTGTTCTTGAATTTGTTCTTGTATTTGTTCTTGTATTTGTTCTTGAATTTGTTCTTGTATTTGTTCTTGTATTTGTTCTTGTATTTGTTCTTGTATTTGTTCTTGTATTTGTTCTTGTATTTTCTTTCTTTGTTCTTGTTCTTGTATTTGTTCTTCGTCTTGTTCCGGATTTTCTTTCGTTTTTGTTCTTGTTCTTCTATTTGTTCTTCGTTTTGATCTTGCTCTTGTATTTGTTCTTCGTCTTGTTCTTGTTCTTCGTCTTGTTTTTGTTCTTGTTCTTTATTCCGTCATCATCATTTTCTTCTTCTTCTTCTTGTTCTTCGTCTTCTTGTTCTTCGGTTTCATCTTCTTCTTTTGCTTCTTCTTCTTTCCTTCATCCCTTATCCCTCTTTTCCTCGTTTTCTTCTCTTCCTCTCACCGTTTCCATCCTCTTTTCCTCCCATTTCCTCTCTTTTCTTCTCCTTCCTCTCTGTGTGTCCGTTTCTTCCTTTTCTTTCCTTTCCTCCCTTTCATTGCTCTTCTTCCTCTCATCCGCTATTCATCTCCTTCCTCTCCTCCCTCTCTTTCCTCTCTCCCTCTCCTTCCTCTCTTCCTCTCTTCCTCTCTTCCTCTCTCCCTCCCCTCCCTCTCCTTCCTCTCTTCCTCTCTCCCTCTCCTTCCTCTCTTCCTCTCTTCCTCTCTTCCTCTCTCCCTCCCCTCCCTCTCCTTCCTCTCTTCCTCTCTTCCTCTCCCCCATCCTCCGATCTGTTTATCCACGGCCTTATCGGCTGGGATATCAAACCCTATTTTTATTGAGATAGGAGAGGTCAAGAGGTCAGACGCACACACAGGTCTCAAACGCAATTAACATCCAAGGTCACACGACGCCGCCCCCCCCCTCCTCCTCCTCCTCCTCTTCCCCTCCCCATCATGATACTCCATCCCCCCCCCCCTTCTTCCTAATAAATCCTTCCCTCCCTCCCTCCCTCCCTCCCTCCCTCCCTCCCTCCCTCCCTCCCTCCCTCCCTCCCTCCCTCCCTTCCTCCCTCCCTCCCTTCCTCCCTCCCTCCCTCCCTCCCTCCCTCCCTCCCTCCCTCCCTCCCTCCCTCCCTCCCTCCCTCCCTCCCTCCCTCCCTCCCTCCCTCCCTTCCTCCCTCCCTCCCTTCCTCCCTCCCTCCCTCCCTCCCTCCCTCCCTCCCTTCCGCTATTACGTTATTTTCCTGTCTTTAAAGATCTCCATGTCCCTTTGCCCAGGGAATTCCTCGTAACACCCACTGCTCTCGAATTCAGTGTGCTTCCCCATTTCCCCATTTCCCCATTTCCCCATTTCCCTATTTCCCCTTTTCCTTATTTCCCCTTTTCCCTATTTCCCCTTTTCCCCATTTCCCCATTTCCCTATTTCCCTATTTCCCTATTTCTCTATTTCCCCTTTTCCCTATTTCCCCTTTTCCCTATTTCCCTATTTCCCCTTTTCCCTATTTCTCTATTTCCCCTTTTCCCTATTTCCCCTTTTCCCTATTTCCCTATTTCCCCTTTTCCCTATTTCTCTATTTCCCCTTTTCCCTATTTCCCCATTTCCCTGTTTTCCCATTTTCCCATTTCCCCATTGCCCGATTTCCCTAGTTCTTTCACTTCTTTCTCACCGTAATTCCCCATTTCTCCCTCTTCCTCTCTTCCTCCGTTCCCTTTTCCCTCCTTCCGCTCCTCTCTTTACTCCCCTCTTCCCCAATAAATTCCCCATTTCTCCCTTACCCTTTTTTACTTCCCCTCCCCCCCCCATAAGTATCCCTTCTCCCCCACCATTTATTCCCCATCCTTCAAAGGAATTAAAATTACTCCCTTCCTCCCCTCCCCCCCCCCCCTCCCCTCCTCCTCCCCTCTTTCCTCAATAAATCCCTAATCCTCTCCTTCGCCTTCCCCAACTTTACCCCTTATATACCCCCTCCCCCCCCTGTAGATTCCTTATCCTCTCCCTTACTTTTCTTAATACTTATCCCCTTCCCCTTCCCCTCCCCCCCTCTCGCTTTTCCCCATATTTTAGTCCCATTCCTCCACTCCCCCCACTCGCCTTCCCCAACATTAACCTCATCCCCCTCCCTCCCCCCACCTGTTTTCCCTAATGTTTCTTAGCCCCTCTCCCCCCCACCCCCTTTTCTTTTCCCCCAATATTTAATCACTCATTCGCTTACCCTAATATCCCCCCCCCCCCCCCACCACCTCACCCCCCAAATACACCCCCCTAACCCCCACTCGTTTTCCCCCAATATTTCTCCCCCCACCGCCTACTTCCCCCCCCCCCCTCCTCCTTACCCCGCCCACTCCCCCCCCCCACACTCTGTACCCCACCCACTCCCCAGCGAACACTCCCCTTCCCCCCTCCCCCCTCCCCCTCCCCCCCACACACTCTGTATCCCACCCACTCCCCAGCGAACACTCCCCTTTCCCCCCTCCCCCCTCCCCCCACAAAAAAAAATCATAGCTGACATGTATGACCCCTCGATTTATTGCATGCACTGTTGCAAG